AATTCTCTTGAAGTCTTTCTTGGTCGGTGCTTCCTTGGTCTTCTTCTTGGTCATCCAGATCTACAGCATAGAACTCGCTTTGATCAGCACGAATGCACTGCTCGATTTACTCGTGTACTATAGTCTGGATCACTCACATGAGAACCAAGAAGGAAACAAGTCCCCTCACAATCCACAGGAATTAAGAGTGTTGGCGGTCTTGGGTTTGGGTCTTGGGTGGCTCCTCTGAGCTTAAAGGCAATTGCTCATAATTGTAGTGCTTGGCGGATTCAGAAGTGAGCTTTAATGTTTTGGTTAACTGAATTGAAAGGACATCAAATATGTAGTCGTCATCGGTGGATTGTTTGGTCGTGTTTCTGGTCCGATGCTTTTCATTGGATAGGCGCTCTGACGTAATGGGTGACCGAATTGTGATTGGCTGCATTATAGTGATACTCAGCAACATGTGCTTACGATCAACACGGTACCCAGGTGCGATCCACCAGATGGGTGAACATCTGGTGGATCGCATCTGGGTACTGTTCAATGTACCATCGTATCGAACATCGAGCATAACATGTTGTGTACATTACATAGAACAAACATAGTACATATGTTACACGTGGGGTGGCAGTTTGACACTGGACGAAGAACCGGAAGACGCGCGGTGCATGTTCACCTTGGTCTCACCGAGACATAGAACCTCCGTACAGAGGTGACGGCGACGCCGTATGCTGGCTGCAAGACGCCGGGCGTCGACCCAGATTCAGGGTGTGTCTACCGTAGACGATGGCGCATAGTTATACACCCTATTCAGCGGTATGACGGGGAGAAAGATGGCGACGTCCGCCTCGAGGCTATATCTGCAGAAGATGCTTTTCTTGAGCTGGACGAGACGTCCCTTTAAGAGTTCGGCAGTGCCTTAGGCGATTTGGCCAAAGTGGTCATTGTACAACCGGAAGAGGAGATAAACTGGTCATTGCTTCTGAATGAAGCCGCCTTGGAGGGCACCAAGAGAGTGCTGAACGCACGTAGAGGCTCGCCGATCCTACGGAATCCCTTGATCCGTACCATCCTTTGGTAAATTTCAAGACGTCGGCTCAAAAGAACCGCCTTCGGTCCTACCTCCGGATTGAGGTGTGCGTCATGAGATCGACTTGGTTCCGGAATCCAAATACTGCATGACACGCCAATGTCTCCTGCTAAAGGAGAAGTGTGACGTCATTGACGCGGTTTTCCGTGCGAAACAGGACGCAGGGATGGTACGTGGAAGCAAGTCTCCCCATTCGTCACCCACGCTTTGCGTTCGGAAGCCGAACGACAAGTGGCGTATCGTTCAATCTTACAATAAGATGACGCTGCCACCATTCCGGCTCAGACGCTGATTCCTAGAAAAAATATTCTTCAGGACAATATGGCAAGATGTACGAAGTACAGTGCACTCGATTTGGTGAAAGGATAATACCAATTGCCCATGAGAGCGAGTGACATTTCGACTTTGTTCTCCAACGCCCGAATAGCATCGCAAGTTATCGAACAGCGATGAACCAAGTAGTCATCGCCCGTCACCAACTCTTCCGAATTAAAATGGCAGCGTCCACTACCACGTGGAATGCCTTGTGGATCGTAATAACTTGTGAAGTGGCGGGGATATCGAAACTCCGAAAACTCGTTGAAGTTTGAGGTGCCACTTCGGCAAGACTGCCCAGACGTCGTGAACGCTTGTGGTCAGAAGGATCATGACGCTATGCGTCGTCGTGCGCCCCACGTTTCTCGGCAGCTGCCCGTGAAGCCGGAGGGCCCTCTAACTTAGAGCCAGCAGGCAATAAGCTCTCAAAACGTGTACGCTGACAAAGCGAAAGATCCCTTCAGCAGTCATGAGCTCCGAAAGTGGTTGAAATACTTTCTGAATGCCTTCCCTCATGATCCAAAAGAAGCCGCTCCACTAATGGTGTCGACATTGGCAACACACCAGAATAATTTACTAATCGAGTGTTCAAGGTTTTTGAAGAAAAAAATGTTTGTGGCATTCTACGATAAGCTGCGCTGATAGAATATCTCGATAATGCAATGGTCATAAGGAGTCCGAGGAGTTTGTTGATAGTCTTAAAAAGTCACTGCTTGCTCTCAGTGATAGGCTGAAAACAGACGATAAGTCAAAGTTCATTGGTGAGCGGTCAGAATGTGAAGTTCGTGGTGATCGCTTCAGAAAAACGAGTAAATGCTGATTATGTAAAACCAACACTCAAAAATTTCTCACAACAGGAGGTGATCAGCAAGCCAGTTAATTCAGTGACACCCACACTCCACATCCAAGAGGAAACATCGTCTAATTTCTGAAGGCACCCGGACTTGGCAAAGTAGAGACAGATATCTTCAACAGTGATAAGTTCGAACTGTGGTCGAAGGACATGGCGATTCGGTTACAATCTGAAGAAGACGGGGGGGGCTAGTATTATGCTGTCGACATTGGCAAAACTAGACATGGAAAACCGTTTGGCTTCCATTTCGACTACTAAAAGCTGTCGACGCCGAATGAGCAATTGGTGGTAAAATTAGAGCTGCGCTGATGGACTACATCGCCATAGCAAAGATACTGAGGGCCTAAAAGGTTTTGCTGAAGGGCTTGAACAGTCACTACTATCTCTCTTCAATCATGTACACGAAGAGAAGTATTCTTCATTTGCTGAAATTCTACAAGGTAAATAGCAAGTTTCAAGAATAAAAAAACTAGAAAATTTTTGCTGACT